GCCAATGTCCGCTACTGGAACACAGGTCACCATATCCATTGAAAAAACAGGGTTCGTCCACCACATTTGCCTGGGTCATGAAAACACTCACAGTCAGAGTGCATATGAAAAGAACGTACAGAAACATTTTTGAGTATAGTTTCGAGGAAAAATATTAAAATCAGAAAATCAGCCGAAGTAAATTATTATTCAAAGAAACTCGCAGAGACTCCTTAAAATTGCATTAATCTTTTTGTTAATTATGTAATTTTACCCCTTTCCTCTTTCAAAAATTGATTTTCAGACAAAACTATATGGATGAGAGTAAAAGAGTCCATTTTTTGGCTTTCTTCCTTTCCCCCAACATCGAATTTTTACAAATTTTTTGTTCACCTTGTCCGATTTTTGCAAAAAACGGCATGTGACTTATTGGGCTTTGACAAAGTTGTTGGTCTTCAAAAAAAGATATTTACTCGAGAAGGGGTAAATGTAAAAAGGGCGCTAGTTTTTATAGTTGCTTTCACGAAGTGTTAGCTAGGTGTATAATTTTTTTTTGCCGTAAATGATTACACTTGTGCATTTTTACAGATATTTTTAGGCCATTTCTCTATTTTTTTGCTTATATATATATATATATATATATATATATATATATATATATATATATATATATATATATATATATGATGATTTAGTCACACTTCGGCTGATTTTTCAAAACCTTTTCTTAAATATGAGTCAGTTCAATAATCGATTCAGCGTTGTTCTGAAAAATGAATTATTTGACCCAATGGCTTGTAACTAATATTTGATCTCTTTTCCGCGGGAAAAATTCTGCAGAAAAAAAACTTAAAACAAAATTTCACTTCACTGAGCAAGAAAAAACGATAAGTGGCACTTTTCCAACCCGTCCCCCATATTTGAGTTTCAGTTTTTAAAAAACTCTACGACTTTACGTTGTCAAAATGTAATAATAATTTGCATGGTGGGCTCTTTTTCCTTTCCCCCACCTGAAAAAATTTACTAGTGAAATCTTGTTCACGTTCTCCGAATGTTACAAAAATTGGCATGCAAATTTATTAGGCCGCGACAAACTTATTTGGTCTTGATGTTTAACCTTGTAAAACGCCTCGTTACAACATAAAATTCATGCTTATATGAGGTGGGGGGGAAAAGGAAAAAGAGCCGCATGGTGAACAACCTAACTTTTGTGTACAATTTTTTTTTCATTCATATCTCACATAGAGCCATACATTGAGCCATAATAACACGTATGACAACTGATAACAAATTAAAATTGGCGGGGAAAAGTGAAAAAGAGCCGCCAGTGGTTTCGCAAAGTAAGTAAGATTCGACGATACCCAAAACAATCATCACCGCAGCTTATACATCCACTGAAAATAATGTTTTGGGTTCCTTTTGTTTTAATTAGTAATTTTATTGTGTTATTGAGTAAAACATCTGCTCTTCTCCTGTTGCTGTTTTTTTAAACTAGTTTTCTTGTTTCAAGAACACATGATATTTCGGCTCTTTTCCAGTTCCCCTTTTTCAAAATACCGAGTTTTATGTTTGTTTTATGTGTTATTACGGCTAAATGCGTGATGTTACGCTGTAAAGTATGAAGAACAAATATGTTCACAGTTGTCGATTTGTTCACCACGTCAAATATCATTGCATTATGACAACGTTAAGTAGCTTATTCTTTTGAATGCACCTTTTGCACTTCTTGTTTATGTCGGGTTGGGGACCCGAGGAGAAAAAAACCTCAAAACCCTACAGAACAATTCCCATTTTTCCTGCTAAATTATTTTTTCTCGCAAACAGTTATAAACAAAATTTACTTGAGAGTACCAAAACATCTACACGTGCAATAGAACCAACAGAAGGCGTGGAGGTGCAGCTGTTTTTTTTTGAGAAGAGGTCTCACTGGTGAAGTTATACTGAAAAGTTTAACAGAAAAATAATTCAACTACTAATAACTCGAACTGAAATAAAAAAAAAATTTATCCAACAATTCCATGTGAATCATCACAACAACCACTTGAACTCTTTCTTGAGACGCTGGTAAATCATACAATGGAGCCTTAACTACTCAGAAACACTGAGCACTAATTGGGTGGGAAGAATTTAAAATGTTAAAATTAAAAAATGGTCAGTCTGAAAGTTCGAAAGAAAATCTCAATATGTGCGACCTGGCGCTCAAGTCAGTGTTGAATCGAATCTGGCAAACTGAACATTCAGAGAGCACGATGGAGCTAGTTTTTTGTTAACTTTCAAGCAGAAGTTTCAGCATAACAAACTTCTATCACTCATCAAAACAGTTTTTTCTTGAAAAGCGTAGTGTTTGGAGAGGAAGTCCAAGAAACAGCTGCTAGCTTTGGCCGGTCATGGGAAAAAATTGATGATGATAACTGTAAACATTTTTCACTTGAAATATAAATGTAGCATTGGAGTCGTTGCACCAACTTTTCCATTCATAACTCTCAACGAGGCTTTCATTCTACTCAAAAATCAAATTTGAAACACTCTAGATAAACTGTTACCAGTCAAACGTGTAAATACGAAAAAACACTGAGTATACGCACTTTTTTTACAAAGTCCTACAGAAGCCGCAAAATGCTTGTATCAAAGATAACGCAACAAAATTAAATCAATGGTAAAAGACTCGCTTAATAGGTACAATGAGACAAAAACAACAACAACAAGTTTTTTCGATTTTTTCAACATTTTGAAGGCAACATGAGTAAAAAATCCGCTGAGGCTTTAAACCAGTTTTTGTGATGACATTGGACCAAAATTAGATTAATGTCTAAATAGGGAGTGCAAATTTAAGTGTAAAAACAGAAAATGTTACATGTTTTTTTAATCTAAATTGATAGAACTAGAAATTTTCGAAATCATGGTTTGCAAAACAAAAAGAGCCGTGATTGCTAAGGAATCGCAGGTTTTTTCATTTAAAAAATGTTCACGACGATCTGTTTTGTTTAGTCGAACACTTGAAATAGAGTTTTCTTCCGATGCTTGAAACTTGCTAAAAATAAACCAATTCACAAAAATGGAAAAAAGACACAAACACAAATTACAAGTCAATTTCACTGCTATTAATTTTCGGAGAATTTTGGATAAGTATTTGAAAAAAATGATACTGGAAGATTGTTAGGTTTCTTTACAAAAATAAAATACGAATTGAGAGAAAAAACGTACCGATGACAGATTGAGAGAAAAATATGTTTTTATTCTTAAATCCTATCTCGAGAACCGTTACCAATTTGTTCCACTAACTCAACTGATCAATATACCAAGATGGAATACTGATTCCTGACTGTACCTCAAAGTGAATCTCGATAAACTACAAAAACAACAAATTTTTCTATCAGACTACTCATCAGGAAAACAAATTCAATGAGATTAGATCGACGAGACAAAAATATACAGACTTTTCTGAATCTATGAAAAACATTTTGATGGAGTCTGAAAAATACTGACAAAAGTTATAAGAAAAGAACGTACAAGTAAAGATGTGAATCATTTAAAAACACTGAATGAAATAAGTTAGCATCTAAACGCGATTCATTCTAAACGTGATCTGTAACGAAAGACTTTAATGAAAAGAAAATATGTTGGCGAGTTAGATTTCTCTTCAATAAGGTTGTCAATTTAAACTATAAGGTTTTGTTAAAGATTTTGCAATGCCCAGCAACTTAAGTAGAAAGTATTGTTCAAAAATCAGAGACCTATAAATACAAGATTCTGATTTCTGTTCAAAATTTTTTGGTAAAAACTGGGTTGAATTTTTTGACGTTCGTTTCATTTTAAGAAATCATGAATGAAAAATCTTTTTTTTTTGGTTTAGATCTACATCAACAAAAACTGTTTATACAAACTTTTAGGTTTCAATCGGGTTAAAAATAAAAATATGGACTCCGCTTTTCCTAATTGCTCCCAACTGGATTCTGCTAACAGGCATGCAGCCTTACCTTGCCCATTTGAATCGGCGCTCCAAAAAATATATATATTTTTTTTGTATACACGAATTTTCTTAATGATTATTATAAACTCAAATTTGAGCACCAAAAGAGATTAAAGGATCTAAGAACTTTTTAAAAACAGTCGAGTTGATTCCGAGTGCATGAAATTCAATGAACTTCTCAGACAATTAAAGTCTTAAATTGAGTTTTGTTTTGTCAAATATTAAAAAAAGTACTTTTTCTTTTCTTGCACATTCAAAGTATCTGTTCACGATGTAGGCGATCAATATTGTCAACAATCATCAACTCAAAATAATTATTTTTCTGATGCTTGAGGGCTATATCAGGTATCGGAAATTTTTGATTGTGTTCGGGTCAAAACTACTATTTTTCGTAAGTAGCGTAGAGCAGAAAAATTTATTTCGTTTCGATTTTAATCCGCAAACGGGTTTCTAAATTGCTGTTCTTTTAAACTATTGGCTCATGATTCTTCTTCAACTGTTTAACAGTAGCGAAAAATCAATTTGTTGTTTGTTCGTCTTTCGGAGAAAGTGATGGGTTGTTTATGCTTCGGGTGTCCTTTTTAATCAGTCAATTTTTGACTTTTAACTTTGGTTTTTCGACGGTTTTCTATAGCAATTGAGAGAGCAAAGGATATTTTACTTGTGATTTTTTTGTGAACATTTGCGGGGTTTGAAAGTTTCTAAGTTGGCCGATTTAGGATAAATAACGCGTGATATTTCGCGCTTTTTTAACCAGCAACTGCGGCAAATTAACTCGTTCCATCTTGAATTGAAACTAATCGTAACTTTTTTTTAGAATGGAAGACAGTTAAATTCTCTTTGCATGTTACAGGGCGTGTGGGCGGTCAAGAAAGAAAAAAAAACTTTTTTTTTCAAGTTTTTTAGAGAAATCCATCAATTTTCCAAGCTATCCAAATGGCCCTCTCAAGTGCAGTCGGAACGCTCGGATAAAGAAGAATTCTACTTGGTTTTGTTTTTATTCAAGACTTACTGCTGTCAAAACGCTAGCAATTTCATCTCTTTTCTTTAGATTATGGACGTTTATTCAACAGCACTTACTGGCACGGAGTAGGCCAACAATGTAACCACTCCGACAACTTCGACCAGCCTATAATTGTCATCATAGTGTGTCTCCTACTCTTATCTAACGCCATTGGGTGTTGTATCGTGACTGTTAATTTGTTCATTGTTCTCGGAAAATGGCAGGGAATCATATCGAGAAGTGTTCTGGTCGGGCTCGCTATCGCCCAGGTAAGTCAAGAAAGCACGATCAAACTGGTTCTTTTCCATTCCCCTCCCCACATTTCACACTTTTTAGTTTTATAGTTGATTCACGTGTTATTATGGTTTAAAGCGTGATGTTACGATGTAAAATATGAAAACTAATACTGTTCACAATGATTGGTTTCTTGATTTGTTCGCTATGCCAAGTTTGATTACATTCTGACAAAATAATGACAATGTTAATGGTGTGAGTGGATGTTGGGGCGGAGGAGGGGGGTGGGGGGGGGGATTGAGGGTGGTAGACAAAAGGCGGCGCCAAACTCATTGCCCTTTCTTCTTCGCCCACTAAATTTGTTTTTGTTCTTTTCCTCTTCTCTCAGTTTAGTCGCCCTTCCTTTGATTTGTTGCTACGACTGCTCAGTTTTCTGGAGACATCATCAACAAAGCTTTTTGCTCTATTTTCCAATAGTTTCGCATTTTTAATTTACCATCTTTCTACACTCAACGACTATAAACTGATATATTCATCACTTGTTCTCTTTGGGACAAAAAAAAACAGATGATGGTGGGGATTCGAACCCCTGACTCTAAGACAACGACTTCACCATCTAATTTTTTCTGTTTTAGTTCTTATTCTGTGTTATCTGCTCTTCGCTCGGCACATCCGAGTTCACTGGCTCAACAAGCGAAGCTCATGACAGATCAATGGGAGTAGATCTAGTTCTACTCTGGATTGCTTCAATTCTCTCTGTGCTTCAAATTGCAAATTCAACTATCAGTCTCTTTTATGTTAAAGAGATAAACTACTGACTATTGATTCGATTCTGATGAGAGAGAGAGATGAAAAAAATATATTTGAAAAAAACGACACACTGAAAAAAAAACTCGAAATTTCTAAAAGGTCGATTTTCTCCAATACATTTTAAAAACCTTCAATATTTTGGTTTGGGATAATTTTAAGTTTCAAAATATGAGTTGATTTTGTTTCAATGTAAAAATTGCTAAGCATGGAAAAAAACTGGCACCAGGAAAAAAAATCAGTTAAACCCATCATTTGCAGTGACAATCGTAGCTTAATCCAAATAAATTTATATTAATTTTTTTCTCCACTACTTAGGCTCGACCGCACAACCAACTAAAGCAATCAAATGAAATTTTGATCACAAAAATTAGAAGGAAGTTTGAACTCTAGTGTTTTTTCCACACACACTTACACACACACACACACACACACACACATACACACACATACACACACACACAAAAGAACAACATTCCTTATAAAACATCAAAAAATGAATTTAAAAAGATTTTCACAATAAACTCCTTTTGGTATAAACGTTTCAGCAGCACTTAACATCTGATCAGAGATGAAATCAGAAAATCAGAAAAAGTAGAAACTAATGGCAGCAGTCAATCAGGATTAACTCAAAGCTAGTTTTTTTATAATTCTTTTTCAATTTTTTAACCAAAAATTAGATTATGCGATTACTAAAACTTGACGCAATTACTAAAAGTTACGAAATTCGATTTTGTGTCCTTGTTATGTATCGGTGTGGTTTTTCAAATTTATATTTTTATTTTATTTTTATTTCTCTTGAAATCAACCTTGTTTTTGAATTATAAAAATGAATTATTGACCATTGTTTAGATTTAACTTCAGAAGAGTTCGACTAATGTGACGTGGTCGTCTGTCCTGTTTGCGACTGTCCCTCTTGCTTCCGAATTTCAGTCGTAATCTGGCTCAAATCCTGGATAAACCGGGATATCTTTTCCAGTTGCGTATCCGAATCCGTCTCGTCAATCGCTGGCATCTTCAACTGAGTGTTAACCAAGTTGAATAAGTTCAGAGTTGCCATCCGGATTCTTCCTAGTTCCAGGGTCTTCGAAGCCGCGGTTGTCTGGATTTGGTTCCAGTTTGCTTCCAGATGAACTGTTTTACTCTTGGCTTTATCCAGATCTCCTTGCATGAATGACAAATCGTTGTTGTAGCTCATGATTTCGTTTTGTCTATCCTCGGTGAACTTTGCCAGATATTGACGTTTGGACTCTGTCATTAAAAAGACCTTTTCCAGATATTTTTTTTTACAGTTGTTCAGTTTCGAAAATGCAAAACTTGGCGACTTGCAATTTATCTTACAGCGACTGGAAACATAAAAATCAATCAAATTGGACATTTGGTTTCTAGTTTTAAGTTTTTCAATCTTATTTTATAGTGAATTTGGAGTTAGAATCAAGAAAAGAGATCTTATGAACAAAACAAGTCTCTAATGACTGCTCCTTTAATCAAAACAGACCTGATTCTTTCAGGTGTTCACATGTTTTGATTACATACGTCTTTTTCGAAGCTTTTATAGGAAAAGCTAAATGAACGACTTGTTAGTTTTTACAATAGAAAAAAGAATCTGAGCAATAATTTTTAAGGAATGAACTGGAAAAGAGCCCGGTTCCCTATTAGGTCTTGGTTGTTCTGGTCCCGCTCAAGTAGGTCCTGGTAGGTGGAGCTCAGTGTCTCGTACCGCGACGTAATCTCCCTCACTTCCGAGAACTCGTCGGAGGTTTCGAGAACTGCGTCCATGTAGCTGTGGAACTTCTTGTGTTTGTCAAGTGTGTCTTGAATCTTGTTCCGCTCCTGCATCAAAAATTAGATTAAAAAATCATAAATTTCTTGAAAAATTTTGAATTTTTTGGAAATTTTTCTCAAGTATCTTTAAATTTACATAGTTTTTCCCGCGTTTATCAATAAAAAAATGTTGTTTCTTGAAAATTTTGATTAAGCTTGAGCCCTGATTCGAGAGTATTTTTTTGTTAATTGATTGCTCGATGTTTCTTCATTTGGTATTTTTTGATTAGAATAACCAAAATAGTTCTTTCCTGTTCTAAAACTGCAATTTCATCCATTAGCTGAGTATGCTCTTTGTTCTTAGACTGCTTCGCTGTCTTCTCGTCCTGTGCTTTCTTCAGTGCTCTCAGTCTCTTTGAGTCGTTCTCTTTCAAGAATTTGTCGAACTTGAGAAGACTTTCTTTTAGTGTGCATTCTTTTCTCTCCAGTTCCTCCTGCGGGAAAAAAAACCGATTGAAGCAAATAGTTTTCAGGTTTCAAATAAAGTAGCAAAGGAATGTAGGAAATAATTGGATAAAAACAAAAAATATGGACTCTGATTCTCCAAATTGCTCTCAAACGGCACCTTCAAACAGGCTTGCAGCCTTAAGGTGACCATTCGAATCGGCGCTACCAAAATAATGCATTTATAATAATTTCTGTAATGTGCCTGATTCGTAATTGAATTTATTATAAATATTATAACTTTTTTGAACACTTTTAAAATTGAGAACAAGAAAAAATAGTAAAAAGAATAACGAAGATAGCTGTGCAAGTAGCTCAAAACTTTCTCAGCATTTTCATTGAAAACTTCGAAAAAGTTTTTTTGTTTCCTTTTGTTCAAATGAAAATCGCGATGAGAGATGTTGTGACCAAATGCCTAGAACCTACCCATTAATCATAAGAAATTTCCCCTATGTCTAAAAGCTTTTAAATTCAATAATAAACCAAATTTCAAAGCTTTTCATAGTGAAAAAAAAATTTCAAAAACTAATTTTACTGGAGTGCACCTCAATTTTCAGGGATCAACTAAACTTTTCTCGGCTTATCTTTTCATGTAAACCTGCTCGCTCCAAGACTACTGACAAAAAATTTGACGAGGAAAGTTGACAGCGTGCGAGGATCAATCCGAATATTGTCCAAGTTTCTAATGAGTAAACTTGCACAAGAAAAAATTGGATTGAGTTTCTCGAGTATTACTAGAATGTTTCAAACTCGTCGATAAACGTTTCAATCAAAATATAATCAACTCTCATAATCTTTCCATATGGAAATGGTGCAAACTGTTTGGTCACATTAGTTCATGTCAAGTTCAAACGATTCTTTTTTCATTTAAATTCGGCTGTCCAAATTTTATAGTTTATCGCAACTTTTTTTCTCTAAAATTTGATGAAAACCAGTCAAAAGGCAGCCGGAATAATCGAAGCTGTGCCTGAAATTCGAGCAGTCTTGTTTAAATAACGTCTAATACTCAAAGTCACAAAACGGTTTGAAAGTAATCATGAAGGTCAGTCAGTTAGTAGAAGTAGTTTTTGAGCGTAATTTTTGAAGTGGTACCTTGCATATAAAAACTTCAAATTTTTTTTTGTTTCTATTTGTCCAAAAGAGAATCGCGATGAGAAATGTTGTGAACAAATGCCTAGAACCTACTGATTAATCATAGGAAATTACGCCTATAACTAAAAGCTTTCAAATTCAATAATAAACCAAATTTTTAAATTGCCCAAGTCGTGAAGTTTTTCAAAGTGCAAAATAAATTTAAAAAACTAAATTTACAGGAGTGCATTTAGATTTTCAGTGGTCAACTAAAGTTTTCTCGGCTTATCTTTTTATGATAAACCTGCTCGCTCCAATTTTTGGTCGTAATTAGATAAAAAAGAGAAAAATTGTCAACCGGCGTTTCTCTGATTGTAGTATCGATATTGAAGAAGTCTGAAAAATATGTGTTTTTTGGCTATTGACAAAAATTTTGATGAGGAAAGTTGACAGCGTGCGAGGATCAACCCGAATATTGTCCAAGTTTCTAATGAGTAAACTTGCACAAGCAAAAATTGGATTGAGTTTCTCGAATATTACTAGAATGTTTCAAATTCGTCGATAAACGTTTCAATCAAAATATAATCAACTCTCATAATCTTTCAAAATGGAAATGATGCAAACTGTTTGGTCACATTAGTTCATGTCAAATTCAAACAATTCTTCTTCATTTAAATTCGGCTGTGCAAATTTTATAGATTATCGCAACTTTTTTTCTCTAAAATATGATAAAAACCAGTGAAAAGGCAGCCGGAATAATCGAAGCTGTGTCCTGAAATTCGAGCAGTCTTGTTTAAATACCTTCTAATACTCAAAGTCACAAAACGATTTGAAAGTAATCATAAAGGTCAGTCAGTTAGGAGAGGTAGTTTTTGAAGTAGTACCTTGCATATAAAAACTTCAAACGTTTTTTTGTTTCCTTTTGTTCAAATGAAAATCGCGATGAGAGATGTTGTGAACAAATGCATTGAACCTACTCATTAATCATAGAAAATTACTCCTATGTCTGAAAGTTTTTAAATTCAATAATAAAAAGGGATTTTTAAATTGCCCAAGTCGTAAAGCTTTTTAAAATGCAAAATAAATTTAAAAAACTAAATTTACTGGAGTGCACTTGAATTTTCAGGAATCAACTAAAATTTTCTCGGCTTATCTTTTCATGATAAACCTGCTCGCTCCAATTTTTGATCGTAATTAGATAAAAAGTAGAAAAATTGTCAACCGGCGTTTCTCTGCTTGAAGTATCGATATTGACGAAGTCTGAACAATATGTGTCTTTTTGCTACTGACAAAAACTTTTACGAGGAAAATTGACAGCGAGCGAGGATCAATCTGAATATTGTCCAAGTTTCTAATGAGTAAACTATCACAAGCAAAAAATGGATTGAGTTTCTCGAGTATTACTAGAATGTTTCAAACTCGTCGATAAACGTTTCAATCAAAATATAATCAACTCTCATAATCTTTCCAAATGGAAATGGTGCAAACGGTTTGGTCACATTAGTTCATGTCAAGTTCTAACAATTCTTTCTTCATTTAAATTCGGCTGTCCAAATTTTATAGATTATCACAACTTGTTTCTCTAAATTTTGATAAAAACCAGCGAAAAGGCAGCCGAAATAATCGAAGCTGTGTCCTGAAATCCGAGCAGTCTTGTTTAAATACCTTCTAAAACTCAAAATCACAAAATGATTTGAAAGTAATCATGAAGGTCAGTCAGTTAGGAGAGGTAGTTTTTGAGCGTAATTTTTGAAGTAGTACCTGGCATATAAAAATTTCAAACGTTTTTTTGTTTCCTTTTGTTCAAATGAAAATCGCGATGAGAGATGTTGTGAACAAATGCCTAGAACCTACTCATGAATCATAAGAAATTACGCCTATGTCTAAAAGCTTTTAAATTCAATAATAAACCAAATTTTTAAATTGCCCAAGTCGTAAAGCTTTTTAAAGTGCGAAATAAATTTAAAAAACGAAATTTACTGGAGGGCATTTAAATTTTCATAGATCAACTAAAACTTTCTCGGCTTATCTTTTTATGATAAACCTGCTCGCTCCAATTTTTGATCGTAATTAGATAAAAAGTAGAAAAATTGTCAACCGGCGTTTCTCTGCTTGAAGTATCGATATTGACGAAGTCTGAACAATATGTGTTTTTTTGCTACTGACAAAAATTTTTACGAGGAAAGTTGACAGCGTGCGAGGATCAATCCGAATATTGTCCAAATGAGCAAACTTGCACAAGCAAAAATTGGATTGAGTTTCTCGATTAATACTAGAATGTTTCAAACTCGTCGATAAACGTTTCAATCAAAATATAATCAACTCTCATAATCTTTTCAGATGGAACTGGTGCAAACTGTTCGCTCACATTAATTCATGTCACGTTCAAACAGTTCTTTTTTCATTTAAGTTCGGCTGTTCAAATTTCTTAGATTATGGCAACTGTTTTTTCTCTAAAAATTGATGAAAACCAGTCAAAAGGCAGCCTGAATAATCGGTGCTGTGTCCTGAAATTCGAGCAGTCTTGTTTATATACCTTCTAATACTCAAAGTCACAAAACGATTTGAAAGTAATCATGAAGGTCAGTCAGTTAGGAGAGGTAGTTTTTGAGCGTAACTTTTGAAGTGGTACCTTGCATTTAAAAACTGCATTAAAACGTGTCAACGTGAACAAGCGAACCAGTTTTTACAACATTTATTACATTAAAAAAGTGAACAGGTTTCTTTTGTAATTTTTTCCAGGGGTGGGAAACTGGAAAAGAGCCGAGCATGCAAACAACAAATAATTTTGTAACATGCAATTTGCTGCATAAAAACTAGCCGTAATTGATTTGTTAATAGGAGCAAAATCTATCACTTAGCACTTTATATGGCATGTGGAGAATCATTTTCACAAGAAAAATGAAATTTAATTATTTTAAATTATTTTGATTTTTCTAACGTTTTTTTGCTTCTTAGACTTTAAAAGGCGATCGGAACATTCACGATTTAATTCTGATACGAGCAGTCTTGTTTAAAGCTTAGATTGAAAAATGTGAAAGACCTCGATTCGCAAACAAACCATTTAACAAAATTTAACAAGCAAACTATCGTTAAAGAGTTGAGCTCATCAGGGTGTTAGTAGAGTGAAAAATCTTAAATTAATCAAAAAAGAACTCTCACAACCCGATACAATGAATTTGAACGATCATCATTAGAATAATAGTTTATAATGAAAATTGAACAAAGATTTCTATAAGGAAACAAAAAAAAACTACTGCTCGTATCAAGGCTTAGACTTGAAAACTACGACTGCACTGTATTTTCGATTCAACGCTTTTTGTTCAATTTTTACCAAAAATGTTCGGTCGAAACTGTCCAAAAAATTCAAATAGCTTGCTCTTGGTCTGTTTGGTTCGTTTTGATATTTTGTGTACGCTTTAACGGGACAAAATAAAATGAGCGTTAATTATCTCAGTTTGATTGGTAGACGTCAAAGTAGTCTCGAATTCAATACCCTATAACTTTGCAAAAAAGACCACAAGTGAATTATTTTTTTTTCAATTTTTATACCCGAGTATCAATATCTATCGAATTGTCAAAACAACTTGGTCAGAAGTTACTATTTAAACAATCTACAGAACAAAATTTGCTACTAGGATCGAAAATACCATTTGAAATTATATGGCGTGTGGGGGATGATTTTTACAAAAAATCTCAATTTTTTTTTTAATTTTCATTTTTTTTACATTTAAATTTTTCCTTCATAGATAATAAAAGGAAATCGGAACAATCAGGGCTTCACCCTTATACGAGTGTTCTTGTTATCTTTTGAATATCAAAAAAAATACGGAGGGATCAACTCGAAAAGAGATGAAAAATAATTGAATTAAAGAGATGAAAAATAATTGAATTAAAGTAGTCATTTTATTAGAACTGT